GAATGTTCGATCAGTTAAAGACTCGAAGGATCCTGAAGCTGTTCAAACTCTGCTGTTTGTGACAAATAAACAGATCCAACAGAATCTGTTTGATTTTTTTTGTTTCTTCATTTAAATGTTTTTAGACGTTTAATAACTGACATCAAACATGTTTGTTTCCCTGTTTTGTGTTTATTCATTTTCAAAAATATCTTTTGTTTTGCGCTAAAAACAAGAAGCTGCTGTGGATCAGCTGCTCGGGGTCTTCCTGTGTGACCGCCTGTTATCAGCTGCTTCACTGTGAGAGGGGCGTGTCGAGGAGCGACCAATCAGCAGCGGGCGCTCTGACGTCTGCTGACGACAGCTTAACGTCAGCGTCTGAAAGCGGACATAGCGACGTTTGAAACGTGAATCAAACCGCGCGATTTAAGACGAGCGGCTGATTTTAAGCTGAGCTCCACGTCCACGGCTGCTGCTCCACTGATGACCGTTCAAACCGCGCCTGCTGCTGATTGGCTGATAAGACGTGAGGTCACAGCCAGGAATATATTCAGAGTCAGAAAGCAGACTTTGTTTCACTGACGTCGTCTTCAGCTCGTTGGTGACGTGAGTTTAGACTCGGGTTACGTCACAGCTGATGACGAGCGCGTCTGTGCTCGCTCTGCTCAGGTGAGCCACACAGACCGGTGTTAGCCCCGCCCCCTCTTGTGCCCCCCATCTCTCTGTCCCTGTCACACATGTCTACAATCACTTCCTGTCGGGAAGATAGAAATACACTAAGAGTGTAAGTGGAGCCTTTGACGCCATGTTTGTTCACGCTCTCTCCTCTTTAACAGGAAGCTCCACAGACTCGACTCCCGGCGGCGCTCCGTCCTCGTGGCTCTCGAGCCGCTGTGGTTCTGCACGTGTTATAATAACAGTAACGATAATAATAAAAGTTTGACAGAAACGAGCAGCGCGGTTTTCATTCTGCGCTTATTCTACTTTTAAATTGGTTCTGATGAAGTTTTCATGTTTTTCATGTTTTGTTCTGTTGCTGTTTTTTTTTAGAGACTCACACACATCTGTTGTTATTTACATCAGTTGTGTCAATAAAACACTTTGATTTGTTTGAAAAAGGCAGTTTAAATAGAAACGACTGACTGATGTTCGCAGCAGATGGAAACAAACAGGAGCCTCTGAGGGAGGAGATGCAATGTTTTTTGGAAACCTTATTTCCTTTTTTAAAAATTGTGGCGGCGAAGCTGCTGTGGGAACGTTTCAGCGTGACCGTCTCAGCAAGCGGTGACGTCACACCAGATGGCGGGAAACGATGTGCAGGCGTGAGCGGAGGAGGCGACGGCTTCTTCTGCAGAGACGCCCAAAACTTCAAACTTTATTTCTTTAAATCCAGTTTCAGACGTTTTAAACCTGTGACAGTTTTTTTAAAGCAGCCGTCCATGTTGTAACTTATGTTTACTGCAGGTTGCGTTTCACTTTAAAGCTGCGCTCTGCTCTGAGTCAGGATGTTACGCCTGCTGTGACCTTTGACCTTTATTAGACATGTAAATAAACAGGATTAAAAAGTGAGCAGAACTATGAAGAAGTGACACATGTTTAACAAACAGGTAAATGTTGGGACTCAGTGCTCTTTCACCTGTAAGTAATCTGATTACTGCAGGTTAAATCTGTCATGACTGCATGTGAGGTCAGCAGTGATTGGCTCTCACTGAGACGCTGGCTGATGGCCAATGTCATTGATGATAATTTCAGATTTTTTAAGGATCTGCAGGAACTGTTAAAGTGAATTTGGCTGTTAATAAAAACTTTCAACATAAACTGAAATGTGATTTTTCTGTCAGAGCTCAGCTTATTGTGTCCGTCTGTTGGTCTTTGTGCTTCTCCACAAACTGTTTTATCATCATGAGTCATTAGATATTTATCATATTTATTTAATTAGCTGAAATCTGACGGTGATTGAAACAATAATTCACACCATGGATTCGACTCTGGGCCACTTTGGTGTTTTTCAGCGCTGTGACCAGGTCAGATTTCTCTTCTAAAACCATTAAAACATTCACATTAATAATATCATTGAATGTGCAGCACAGAGACCTGTGAGTGCTGCTGATGCTGTGATGAGAGCAGACAGTCTACAGGTGAGGACGACACGAGGACTCGTTCCTGCTTTTATAACATCGCTGCTCTCAGAGCCACGAGAAACATCGCTTTCACATCAGAACTGGGACACACTGCGCTCTGTTTGCACGTCATTGTTTTGCAGCCGCTCTACGTGTACTAGATGCACCTGCTCCTTGTCATTTTAAAACATATATCTCTCTGACTTTATATCATCTACGGGACTCTGTGTTGTTTTATCTTCAAATGTTTAATAAAAACATGTATCGCTCATTCATAAAGAAGAAAACTCTGTAACTATCCCGACTAGTGACGAGTGTGTCAAAAGTTTGATTTTCATGTCAGATCTCAGCTTGTATCGTCTGTCTGTTAGTTTGTGTTTCTTATTTTTGGTCTAATTCTCACTAAACTCTTGTGCTATTAGACTCAAACTCAAACTGAAAGTTAAATATTTATTTATTTTCCACAGAGCAGCTTTAAGTTTGTCACTCATTTATTTATGGAAACACTGCTAATGAAAGATTATCTTGAGAACATTTCCTCATGAAAATGCGCTGAATGTCTGCTTCATTTTCACAATATTTGATGCATTTAGTTCAATATATTTAATTATTAATGAGGATGTTTGCTGGTTTACAAAATCATTTCAGAAAACAGTGAATTTCCTCATAATCACTTAAATACTTGTGCAATATCCCATCTGCCCTCCCGTCATATTTCTTTTCAAGATTTTCTTATTTAATCTCTAGTGTACATATATTTATATTTATAGATACATATATATTTAGTCATCTTTTCTCTTTTACCATGTCTCTCTACTATTTAGCTCCTTACTATTTTTATATTTTTATATTTTATTTTATTTTATTTTATTATATTTTCTCCTACTGTACCATGCTGCTGAGTGACTGCTGCTCGTCAAACACATTTCATTGCAATGTTGTCCCTGTGCTAACTTGCATATGACAAATAAAACTGAAAACTGAACTGAAAACTGAAACTGAAATACAAGTGACAGTGATCTTCACATTAAAGTGTTACTGTCACATGAATGTTCATTAAGATGATTCATAAAGAGGCCGTGGACAGTGAGCGGGTCATTGAGCTGTTTCTACTTTCAGTGTGTTACAAATTAAACCCTGTTTGATTCGACTTTTTTCCATTTTTTTAATTAACTACAACATCAGTATGTGTTTAATGGAATCTGGAAAATATTATCTGAGCTAAAGGTTATTAAAATTGTGACGTCGCAGCACATTTACCATCTACTCTGGATGATAAATTATGTGTCTGACATATTTTCTTTTTCTATAATTTACAAGGTTATTATCGTTAACGAAAACTAATGAAATAATGAAAACTAGAAGTGAAAAAACATTTTCGTTAACGCAAATAAAAATAAAAACAAAAAAAGGAAAACTAACTAAAACTGGAATGAGTGTTCACAAAACTAACTAAAATTAACTGAATTCATAGCAAAAATGTGTTTAGTTTTCATTGATGTGTGCGTGTCATACAATAGTCAAGGGTGAAAATGAAGTTTAGTTTCCAGATTTTTTTCTTGCTGTGTCTCATTATGCCAGCAGGTGGCAGCACGTTAGTCGAGTCGTCTGTGTTGCTGCTCCGTCCACGCGCAGAATCATGTCAGGAAAAGTCGGGAGCCAGAGTCCAATTTGGGATTACTTTGAATATGACTGTGTTTTGGATAAAGCAAGTGTCTTGTAGTGGAAAGAGACAAATTATGAGGGACATTTCTAAAGGGAAAAAAATCCCACAAACCTTAAAGTGCACTTGAAAACAACACAAGAAGGCTAACCTAGCTTACCTTGAGAAGGTAAGGGAGCACACTCAACCCTCATCCCCAGAAAACAGAAGCTAACCCCATGCAAGGCAGCGTGATGCATCCCGAGACAACAGGACGGGGATATCTACACAACTGTGTGAGTCAATTACCTTCAAAAAGTTTATCAATTCACTTGAACCACTATTACGAACACCTGGTGCTGCGAGAGTTAATAGTCTCATTGGGGCCAAGATATACATTTTATAGTTGCCTGGTATCAATGGTTGTTCATCTGCCTTTATTTATTTATTTAAAGAACCCATAGGTGGGAATGTGAGTTGTCTGTCTCTGCGTGTTAGCCCTGCGACAGACAGGCGACCTGTCCAGGGTGCAGTATGGTAGCTGGAATAGCAACATACCCAAGGATGAGCAGAATGACTGATATGATGAAACTGGGATTTTGTTACACTTAATTATTGCAAACACAACTAAAACTATAACTGAAACTAAGGATTTTCAAAAAAAATAAAAACTAAACTAAACTAGCAAACAATTGGTAAAAACTAATTAAAACTGATATAAAATTGAAAATCTGAAGTCAAAACTAAATAAAAATAAAAACTAATGAAAATTGCAAAACTATTAAAACCCTGATAATTTATTACAACATGTGATTATTAATTATATTATATATTAATTCACAATAATTGTAAAACAAATACATCTCAGACTGATTATTTAGATCCTGCTGGAGATTATTTTCTGATTAATCAGTTCATTGAGAAATTGTAGCAAAAACAACCATCAAGAGACAAAAAAATCCTAAATATAACTTCAAATATAATTAATTTTTACTTTATTATTTTAATATTTTGATCAACTAATGAGTTAACTGACAAATTATATCAGTTCATACAAACATGATCATTAAGGTTGTTTGAAATAAATTAAAGTTTCCCAGACTGTAGTTCTACATTCATTATGAATTTTTATTTTAATAATTTAAATCTGTAATCTGAATGAAACATTTAATGTGTGCAAACCTGTTTACTACTGAAAACAAAACACACTGAAAACATTAACAGCAAGTATCAGTAAAAAAAATGAAACATGAACAAACCTCCAGTTTGGTTCAAGCGCTGCTTTACAATCTCAATGTTGGCTTTGAACGTCTGCTGGGAGCCCCTTAAGATGTCAGTCTGGCTCTCCCAGTACTGCTGATCTGTATTTTTGTTCATCCAGTCCTGTTTGGGCACTAGTTTATCCGTGTTGCTGTCATAAAAATTAATCTGAACATCATCAACCATCGCAAGAGCCACAAACTCTGGGAAGTTTGGAACTTGAGAGGACGCAGTGTAGAAACACTTCAGAGAGTGGGTCACTGTAAGAAACAATTAATTTTGTGAGGTCTCAGAAACACAGATTTATAAATCATGTTATTTTTTAAATAACACAATAAGAAAAACTTCAGCACGTTAAAGTCATCCTGTAATAATCCTGCTGTCCCTTCAATAAACACTAAATAGATTTATGAATAGATATTCAGTGTTTAATGTCATTTTCTGATCCTCTTTTCTTCAAAACTGTAATTTTGTGTTTTGTAACAGATTCTAGTTTGAACCTGATTTTTTTTACATTATGTTTTAAAACTGGTGTTTTTATCTTTCAATTTAGTTTAATTCAGTTTTCATGATTAATGGTTTAAACTCATTATAACTTTAATTTGACTATATTTTTTATTTTCAGTGTTAAAGAAAGCACATATTATTTTTAATCTGTTTTTCTTTTGTTAGCCGCTGTATGAACCGTAAAGTTTCTTCTTTCCTTTTTCTGAATCAAGCAGTATGACTTCTAAAGTGAGTTGTTTCCTTTTTTATTTCAATTTTTTTATATTATCAATTATATGAATTGATTTCATTGCTTTGATGTGACTGTCCAGACTTTTGGGAGGTTTTTTTTCATAATTTCTGTAATGGGTTTTCTAAACATTAATACCCATGCTTCTTCTTTGCTTATATTATTTTCATAGACTTTTGCCAATTAATGCACATTCAAAATTGTTACAGAAACTTTCCAATATGTTTGATCAATAATATTATCAATAAAAAGCTGATGTTAAGTAACTATTATTGGGGGAATATTATCTTAAGCATTTTTTATTTTATTCTGTAATCAGGTTTGCAGCTGAGTTTTCATTTATCAAAAGTATATGGATTAGTTTGTTTGTGTTACTGGCAAGGGTAGTTTATAACTTTTCTCATTAGCGCCCCCTGGTGGACATAGAGTGGTTTTAAATTGCAAAACTTTTCTGATATTTCTCACCATCAGCTTCTTATTGATCATTCAGCAGTCATACCAACATTAACTCTTGCTGGTATAACTCCAAGATATTAAAAAGAAATAACGACTTAATTTGTATCGCAATTTAGTTCAACTGAATTCTATTTAATTTTATTTATATGACGCCAAATCACAGCAAAAGTCACTGCGCTGTTTCTGAATCAATAACATCAGAAAAACAGTGAACTTACATCCGGGCGTTATTCGTTAGTTACATCATGTGTGCGCATGTTCTTCAAACAGAAAGTATTCAGCTCATAACGCTGGTGAATAATACTGAATACAGTCCAAAGCAGCAGTCGTTTACCTTTTAATGAACTCCATCAAATGACATGTGGCTCTACATACACAGCGTATACTGAACAAATAATTAAACTCTAAAATTTTAACAGATACTTAAAGTGAACTTTAATAATCAGCTGTTGTGTGACAATGTTTTTAATTCTTCATGAAAATAAAAAAAGTTCTCAGTTTATAAAATAACAGTGTTGATTATTGTCACCAGATTATTAACGAGCCTCCTCACTGATCTTTTATTTGTTGGACTGTTTGCAAACACAGCAGAGTCACAACCTTTAAAAACGCGTCATGAACGATTTAAAGACGGAACGAATAGTTTTGGACAGAAATCGCCTTGTTTTCTTTGCCTTATTTATTTATTTATTGATATTAGCTAAACGTAATTTTTAATCTAAACTTTAATGTTCAGTATTAGGGATGGACGAGAGAAACAGGCGATTTAATTACATTAATAAAATGATCGATCGTTTCTTAAAATTAATATTATCTACAAGAATCTATAAAAACTAAATGTTTAGCGTACAGGAAGTCTCTGGGGGAACAAACAATCTGTCCATTTGTATTTCAAATTACATAAATCTGACATATAAAAAACACACAAACATTCAAATCACACTGACCTGCCGCCGCTCCCTGTATCCCCAGGAGAAGAAGGAAGATGAAGGCCTTCATTGTGACCATAAACGTCCAAACCTTTAACAGACTTCGTGTGTTCGCTTGTCCAGAAAAAGCGGCTCTGTGCTTCCAGCTCACGTATCAAAGCTAAAATAGGAGAAAACGAGGAGAACCAGGAGGTACGTCCCCACTGGGCTCCATCTGAGCCAATGAGAATTTACTCTGACAGTAAACGTCACTTAAATCTGGGGTAAACGCAGCCTTTAGGGTTATTAACGAAACTGAAAGTAAAATATCTTCATATGAACCATGAATGATAAAGAGAAGGGTTAAAGTTAGTTTCATCTGGTCATTATTATTTTTGATGTTATTACAGGAATAGTTTATGTTATGCTGGGTAGACATTGTTTAATCTATCATTATTATTATTATTATTATTAGTAGTAGTAGTAGTAGTAGTAGTAGTAGTATTATAATAAATCTGGGTTCACTCTTTAGCCGTTTGGTACAGATTGCCCCTGGAGTCTGTGAGGTTACGGTGTCTTTAAAGGCACAAAACACATTTTCAATTGTTTTTTGTGCGACTGATGAAGAATACATATCAAATGCGATTTCACCGAGTTGCACTGAATGGTTGTGGCGTGGGCTCCCTCCAGTGGATAGTTAAGATTCTCAGTGGAGTGATTGATCATTTTACATTGATATGTGTGGCGGGGGCGCCGTGATGAAAACAGTATAACAGTCAGCTTGTCTTCTTTTTTAAACAATTTTTTTTAACATATCAACATTAAATAATGTTTACTTCACAAGTTACTTATAAACGTGTTTGTTTCCTGGCATCAGTTTTTTTGGGGGCAACAAATAATAATTCCAGTGAGCCCCCTCCCCCCTCCTCATTTCATGATTTGGTTTGGTCCAGGTGTGCGTTCCTAGCTGACGCTAGGGGATGTTAAGAGTCAAGTCTGGGTTTCAAAAAACAAACACAGACAGATAGTAATTAAACTCACAGCAAAGTCCAAACTAAAGAAGCTGCTTGACTTTCCTAGTGTTGGTTAGCTTACTTCATTTCACCCTATAACCCAATGTGACATTTTTCAGTATCACATCTAATAACTGTATAATAAAAGTAATAAAATGTAACAGAAAATGCTTTCAGCCAGGGGCGATTCTAGGATCAGAGCTTTGGGGGTGCTGAGCACCCAGAGCCAGCTAAGATACACTTTACTCATCACAATGAGACTTCTTCCC